TGCCGTTACAGACGTTGTTCGGACGCGGGGCCGTTGGGCTAGGTGTTGGTCGACCCGGGTGGGCGCTGTCTGCTATCGAGGGTTGGATGCCTGCGTTTGGCTGCTGCAGTTGCAACGGAACGTCCCAGGGTCTTGGAACGAGGAGCGAGAGGAGAGCTACACCTTTTGGAGAGGGAGAGCGAATCGGCTGCTTCCCGGCGTTGAGGCTCTCCGCCCCCAAACCTCCAGGAGTATGCTCTTAACCAAGCCGAGCGCGAGCTGCTGCACGATCGGCTAGGGCTCTCCGGAATCGGACAGCTGCTCGAAGCACTCCCCGAAGACCACCCTTACTGCCGAGAGCAGAACGCACTTGGCTGCTATCCCCTCCCCGGTTGGGAGCAGAAACGGCCCATGCGGCAGTACCTGCCGTTTGAAGATGAGCTTGGTCGGGCAGTCGAGAGCAGCGAGGAGCACCGCTGTAAGAGCGGTCTCACTGTCGCGGAGTTTGATGCCAAGGTTGCGGCGGCCAAGAGCGAAAAGCAAGGGAAGCGGCTGCAGAAGCATACGAAGGGGGGCTTCGTGTTCTGCTGCTCTCACAGGGTCGTTTATGGTTTCCACACGATGCTGCGGGGAGAGTCTCCTCGTGATCCTTTCGCGGTGTTGTACACCCGCCTACATCGGCACAACCTCCCTTCCTTCCTGTTCTACGACAACGCCTGCAAGCTGCGATCGTACAGCATGCGGCGTGAGCCTGCATTCTTTGCTGACGTAAGGTTTCTCGTCGACCGGTAAGTGTGTAAACAGCAATACGTCCATGTTTTCGAGTTGTTCGTTGATCTAGAACAAGATAATCAACCTTTCCAGGGTAACTTTGGGCGTCATTCTGCCACTTGCTGTCCGTGTCCAAGCTGTCCTAGTTTTGCCAGATTCTGGGAGCCCGGTTTGATGACGTCGGCAACCGGCCCGTGTTCAAGTGTTTAAGCTTTTACCACTGAGACTTTCTGGGATCCCGTTTCTGATGACGTCAGCAACCGTCCCTTGTCCAAGCCGTCCAATTTTGCGCGTACAGGTTCCACTTCCAGAAGACCGGCGCTGAAGGCCACAAGTGTGGGGCAGCATTCAACCCAGACTATTACGACGCTGTGCGCTGGGTTAACACTTCAGCGGTGGAGAGCGTCAACTCCTTCTTGATCAAGTTCAAGGTGCTAGGTTGGTTTAGTGGTCTCTAGGCGTTCATGATCATCCTAGCTAACGTAGTGAGCGGGCGCAACGCAGAATTGACACGTGTTGATGACCAGAAGATTAAATTCGCTGGCAGAGTTGATTTATGGTCGCCGGCAGTTCGCGCAGCTCTCTTATACTGGTGTTGATTGATAGCTAATGAGCTTCCCGCGAGCGTGTGGGGAGCTATCGTTCATGAGGGGGTGAAGGAAAAGGAGTTAGGACACCTCTTTCATATACTTGATAATGATATATAATAGCATGATTGCACTGCACACTCTCAAATCTCTGGCACCACGGACACCTTCGCACTTGTTTTCGAGTCGTAGGAATCCATTTTTCAAAAACCCCTCAAAATAGCGAGCGGTCGAGGTGTCAAGGCGTCATGGTGCATCTAGTGATTCGTCAGGAGACCTTCAAGTATCTTCTTTTCATAGGGTAGACAGTAAAGCACGTTTGTAACGAACGGGCTTTTGGTTAAGCCTAACCGCACGTCGTTACGAGAATAACCCCTGTGTTAAGCGATTATGTCAGGTTGCGACGTATGAGCACAGTATTGATGTGACGTAGTTAATGCTAGGTGATTAATTACGCCGCCGAATAGTTCGTAGAGTGCAAGATAAGTATGCTGAGTCATTGATGTGACTGCATGATCTTGCAAGACTATGGCATGACCAGGATTGCTTGGCATGGTGCATGGCGCTCTACTATGTGGTCGTAGTATGCAGTCCCAGTAAGTAAGCTGTCCTGGACATGACTGGACGCGTGTAACGATTACGACTGGTTAAGCCTAACCTCCTTCTCGACAGGATTTTGTTGACCGCGAGTTAGCGGAACGGCGGTGGTTACGTCTTAACGACGCACTGCGTAGCTGT